ATGTTTTTCCGTAGTGCTAAAAGAGGATGTCACAACCTTACCAGTTTCTCTTCTTCTACTCTTCTTTTCTTTTCTTCTACAAGGGCTTTTCGTTCAGCTCTCAATTTGGCTCGTTCTTCCATAGCTTTGTAAAAACATTGGTAGTCACCAAAAAACGAACGTTTATTCAGTATTATTCGATTCAAGTGTTCTAAATTTCTATACTGGGAAACTATTGAAAGTAACATTAAAGACAGTCACATASTGTAATACTCACCAAGAAGTATTGGTTTTGTAGTAGGTTTGTCTGATTTAATTTTAGGTTCTCTTGATAGTAGTTTAGTTGAAGCAGCACTTCTTTCAGTTTCAACTTCAGACCATACATCTACTTCACTAGCTTGATCACTTTCATGCCTTACTGACTCCKCTCCATGTAAGTCTATGGTTTGCACATCAAGAACATCAACTGATCTACTTCTYTGTATRGTTTTTTTAGTTTTTGCTTGTTGRTCTTTCAACTTCGACCTTAAATCCTGAACTTTATCTGCATGACTAAGTGTTCTCTGTTTTGGGCGTGGTTTGCGGGTGGTATTATTGYGAAGAGGGCTGGAAATTTTCTTGTCTTGGACTGGTTTGTTGCACCATGTGTTCTGTAAGGGTTTTCCTGGAAGCAACTGATAGCCTGATGGATGACTGTCAGCACTACTCCTTGCTGAACTGATCAGTTTGGGGTTAGRTTTTCGAACTCCTTGAGAAAATATTTCATCCTACAACAAATGACATCATATTCTTATGAGATTATATATTTTGACTTCAGTTAGATAATTTATTGTTCAGAGATCCTGGCTTGCCACTCACCACTTGTCTTGATGTGCTAAATAAATCTTCATCTTCAACATTTTCTATCAATAGCTTAGAATTTTTCTCTTTTCTTGTAGAGTGTCTTTTATTTGCTTCATGGCAGATATGATTTTGGAGTCTTCCACCTCCATTTTGTTGTTCCATATCTTCAATTCCCATTTTTTCGACTTCAGTTTGAAGTTTGCTTTCACTCTTACTCCAGAGTTTCCCAGTAGCTGCAGCCTCTAGTAGAGCAGCCATTTTGTCAGCCTTCTCTTGGTGTTGTCTGTCAAGTTCACGTTCCTGTTGACTGTGATGGACAAACAGTCGCCAGCCTTGTACACAACGATGCAAAAGATTTTTGCGGTATAGCTTGTAGGCAAGTTGGTCTTTTCTATTGTGGGAGTGATTTAGAAATAAATATTGTATTAGAGGCATCTATAATRGTGTTGAAGCAACTTTTTCAATTCATCTATAATCTCGTTTTATTCCAAACCCAGAATCTAAATGCATTACCTGTGTTTTTCTTTCATTTCTGCAGCAATAGCTTCTGCCTCCTTGTCAGACTGAATATGCCAAATATAGGCTCTCCAAGCATTCCATGCTCGTAGTTTTATTTTCCAGTCAGCCAGAGCACGAGCCTTTCCAAGCTTTATTCTCTGATTAACTAGCACTGAATACCAAGCCGAAAAGTATTTCTGAAGAAGCTATAAATAAAAATATCATAGAATCASTAGAATATTCATGAAGGCAACTACCAAATAATCTAGATTCTCTCACTGGAAGCAGCCTGGACATGATACCTGTAAATTCATTTTGGTGTCTGCAGCAGCTCTTTCTTCCATCTGCTGCAGCAATAGTCTTCTCATCTCCTCAGTTGCCTGCTTTTGTTCACGATGTTGTTGTTCCTTTATCTGTTGTTGCTGCTGCATCTCCTGACGTGCCAGCATTTCTGCCTCAATCTCTAGTTGTTGCTCCCTAATTAAAAACAGAAATAATTAATGAATAGCTTGAAATGGGAAGACATCAGATCAATAGCTTTTTCTATTTGCAAAAAAAGAGCTACAAGTGTCACATTTAAATGACTTCAAGGGTAAACTTTGTATGAAAAATAACTATAATTCATCATAAATGTTGATTCCTGACATCATACCATTGTCTTTGCTCCTTCCTAAGTTTATTTTCTTCTTCCATTGCCTTTCGTATTCTTGCCATTTCTTTTTGCAATAACACCTCTTCCCTTTTTGCCTTTGCCTGTTTTTCTTTCTCTTCTTGTAACAGCTGCTGCCTCGCTAAGTGTTGAGCTTCTTTTCTTGCAACTTTTTCCCTTCTTGTCTTTTCAAGATCCCGTTTCCTGCTCTCACTCTTTTCTTTAACCTTTAAAATGTACAAAAAAAAMCAGTTGGTTTTCTTTTATTTCTAACACCTTTCTTCTGCTGGGCTTCTCTCTATGCTTAATTATATATATGTAGAATTGGGATATCGAATACAATAGAAGTTATATGACAGGAGTTATTGCAAGAGTTCTTAATGATGTCCTAATGTTTAAGTTACACTAAATCTCCCAGCTTTGTACCTGCTTATGTCGTAATTCCATTTTCATTCTAGGATCAATTGGTGTTTTTTTGCTATCAAATCCAAGATCCTTTAATAGATTGTCTTTTACCACTTTCTTGTCCAACATATTGCGCACAACTTCYTGGACAGCAATTTCCTCATCTAAGTCATCATCAAAGTCAACACCTAATGGGATAAAACCCAGATAAGTAAGATATAAGATGTAAGATATATCAAGAAGACAATATTATATGTGATTTAAATGATAAAGAATTTGTGTATATATCTAATTTAGTATATCTATAGCGATGCTTTAAGTTTATCAACAAACTCATTCTTATTATGCAATGTACCATCCACAAGAATTAAAACAAATTGCCTAGTTTAAATAGGCAATATACTCTGGCTGACAGCACATGAATGACAAGGCTTACGTCACATGATATATCAGTGAGTGTATATCTATTTTTATACATTTCACAGAAAAYATTACAAAGCAATAACTATCTGTATTTTTATTTCATGTTGACTGGATCAACCAGTAACAGGTGCCTATTTTACCCCCTCATCCAATAACTTTTGTACAATGATCATAGACTAGCATACCTGGCAAAATATATTTAGGTGAATCATTACAAGTACCATCACTATAAACCTCAAAACCTGTGGTTTTAGAGGGCAAACTCTCTTGCTGTGGTCTTGCATGGAATCTAGCATTAGAATTCCATTTCTCATCAAAAAATTCTAATTCTGGTTGGATAGATTGGAGAGTTTTCTCTTTCACCCACGAATCTAAGAGGTCTTGAGCTGCAGAGCAAAAAAAAAAAGAAAAGAAAATCAACAGTGCACAATAACATATAATATGAATTTCACAGTTAGTGGGAATGTAAAATGAGAAATTATTAAAATATGACGTAAACATACCTTCTGACAGGGCATCATCATCAACACAGATATCATCGAGAATGCCATGATAACCCTCGCCAAAGACCTCTTTGGCTGCTTCATCCGATGCTCTTTGCACATTCTATTTTCATGGCAAACAGAAGTTAAGCAAGTCCAACTACTATATTCTAATTATTCAATAATTCTGAGCTCACCTTGATCCAGCTTTGAATACCACCACGGCTGTGATGCTACAGTAAAACACAGTAAAACATTTTTTATATCATTAACATATACTTGGTCATATTAATGCATATTTAAGCGAAAGTTTTCAACTGTTGTCCTGTTGTCAAATTATAAATATCAGTCAAATTATTACCGACGATTTAGTTTGTCGCTTCCATTTGAAAAGATCTGGTCTTGCACCAGCCATTACTTCTGTACTATTTGAGAATTGTTTTGAGTATCCATTGAATTATCGACGATCTTGCCCGTTTTTTCTTTCTAACTGTATTATCTTGTTTTGTCCGCCATTTTGGACTACCGACCTTCCCATGAGTCATTTCGACACCACAGGTATCCCAACAACGTTCCAAGACAAAATCTTTAGCTTTAGCCTTGTTASCGGTCTAATGCTGAATATGAAAAATGTGAGGATCCAATGCTACATGACGGTAGGCATTTTTTATCATACAAGAAAAACAATAAACAAAAAACAATAAGAAAGTGAATAGTATGAAAGAAATAATCATACAGAAATTGCTTTCAAAGCGTTTAGTTATTGATAAAAATGTTTTATATGGGTTTTCCAGCAAAGATTAAAAGAAGTACCAAATAACTATATTACATCATAATTTATTAAAATTCTACACCATTGGCACCATTTTTATTACAATTATTTCCTATTTGACTATTATTTCAAGGTATCTACTTTGTAGATGTCATGCCTCTTCTGGAATTGAACTGGGACTTGTGCTCTCACTTGGTCAACATAGTTCAAATCTAGAGAAAGAAAACAAAGAAAGAAMATAAAACTTGGAAGTCAACTGAAAACAAGATCAGAGTCTAGGAATCTCAAAATAGAAGGATGAAAAAAGGATAAAAGTAAAAATGAAAGGAATAGAAATGTATAATATAAACATTCCCCCATTAGCAGAGACATATTACATAATATAAACAATCAACAAAAAACTTACCAATATCAGAAAATATGATCTGTTCTGTGTGATCTGCTTTCTCCACCACATTTCCCCTAAAATCAAAAAGATATTTGAAATGGAATGTTATTACCAATATTCTATTGTGATTAATGCACCTCCTGATTATCAGATTTTATTTTAATTTGGTTTCCTCAATCACCCCAAAACAAGAATTTAGGATGTGGTCAAAATTGAGAATCTATGAGTCTGTCCTGATTSGGACGATTCAGAAAAGAATTCATAATTTTAAAGTTAAAATCATTAGTGTAAAATATACCATGGATTAACTATAGTACTATTAGCCCAAGCTATGTAGCTAGCCTTCTCATCTCTTGCTGGTGAAACAGCTGCAGCATAGACCTGAAATAGTGATTGAAAAAAATCACCTATCAGTAGAGAGTGTTAAGAAAAACATCACCATGATGGTTAGCATGTCAAAGATGACTATGCTATACTATACTTTTTTGATCAAGTGTCAATGAATTTGTTTAAATTATACATGACAACATGATGTTTACTCACTAACTTGTCGAACTATGTATGTGGTCAGTGGCTAAGACAATGACTTAGTTACCTGGTTATCCAATGCCCTTGAAAGTGATAACAACATGAAAGAAAGATACAGTGATTTACCATATTGAATCRAACTAATATTGCAGAGTGTATGATCACCCCCTCTTGAGATATTGAGGCACCCTATCTTACTTTCCCTATTTTGTCTCATTTGTGAACATTTTGGTGGKGGGCATCCCATAACTCTCCCTGATGAAAACACTGGATTTACCCCTGTTAAGTGAAATTACCTTGCCCTAACAAGGAGCTCCCAGTGAGCTGGACCAGTTGTCATGTTAAAAGCACCAGGATAMACAAGCACTTTACAACCTGCAGGGTTTATAAAAGAATATGGTAAATGCAACTTTCTTTATAAAACTGCACATGGATAGAATGAGAAATCTTACCATTTTTGGCATATATTTGTGCCAATTCAGCAAAGCGCATATCATAGCAAATTGCAACACCAATTTTACAAAACTCTAAAATAAAACAAAAACATTGTAGAAAAACCTTAAATCATCATCTATCAACTTTGTATTATTATGATCTACATACAGCATTATTATCAGTTTCAAGGTAGCAAAGATGTCATAACACAGCCATAGTTTCAATTGTCTCACCWGTRTCAATAATTGTAAGGCTATTTCCAGGGGAAAGGACCTCAGACTCTTGGAAGCGAATCTTTCCAGGTATATCAATATCAAACAAATGCACCTAGAATTCAATGCAACAAGACAGCATAGAAATGACATGTCATGGGAAGGTAATCCATGTTTTAGAAATGGACACTTGATAATAAAAACAATCATAAAAACCATCATTTAGCTCTATGACAGTAAACATGTCAAATTAAGAAGAAAAAAACGACCACAAAATAAACATACCTTCCTATGCTTCCCTARCAAGTCTCCTGATGGTCCATATGACAATGAGGTGTTGAATAGTTTGCCATCYGCATCTCTCTCAGGGATAGATCCTCCAATAACATATGCACCTGTTTCTTTGGCAACATCTGATAACATTTTTGAGCTCTCCCCAGGAATTGACTCTGCATAATCAGCAAAGTATGAAGTACCATATGGAGAATTGAAACATTCCTAGTCAAGAATTATAAAAAATTAGTAAATATTGCATACAGGAGGATTTGGGTTGGGGACTGTTTTGAATTTACATTTTCTCTTGCGGGTGCAGTAAGTTATATGAAAGTTCACCCCTAAAAGGGACCAATGAAATAACATGTCATCTGTAATAGTCTTCTTCACAGTTCCCTGTGCCTTTGCGTTGAAGTGAGACAATCGTTGAGCGTGCAATGATAGAAACTTTYTTTCACACCTACAGACAATCATTCACAGGTATCTATCATTGCATGCTCAACAGTTGTCTCGCTTCGATGTAAAGGCACAGCTACCTTTCAAGATCTGATGGCATAGGGAACCATGAAGGAGACTATTCCAGCCTCTGAGGTCAAATTTGGAAAAGGTTTCTCTTTAATATTTTCTCYATTTGGAATAATAATAACACTTGACCCCTTGCATGTGACCATGATGTGACGTCAGAGAAGCTTAAAGATTGTTGTTCCCTTTGGGATTTCCTATTGTCCTGTCCTCCAGTTGCATTCCCTCGACATGCAAGGGATAAATTAGGAAGATGATGTTGACTCACGACTCACGACTCACCGGAAGTGCAACAACTTGAGCTCCTTTTGCCACGGCTTCTTTGACTTTTTCCTTGGCTCTTATCAAGTTCTGTGCCTTGTTTGCAGAAACTGCTAGCTGTACCAAGGCAAGTCGAAAACCTCATGAAAGATTTCAAAACACAGAATTATGTAATGAGCTTCATAAGGCACCATTATGAGCTGATCATAATATAAAACTCTCTCTACCGTCCCAGTTACAATATACTTACTAGTCGCCATGTTGGTTGATAAAAATAACCCATATATGGTTAGGTCACGTGCTCAAGATATCTAAAAATGCGCGGGAAATAAATGGAGTGGAAGGTCAGCAAAATAGGCAAACGGTGATTCCTCACTGATATTATCCTTAGATCTTCGCTGATATAGCTTGCGTGGTATAGAAATTGTTGGATGGCTATGTCTCCATTCGTTGAAGGGTGGGACTTCGTAGAAACGCTTGGCGAAGGGGCATACGGCGAGTAAGTTCGTTCAAATTTCCAACACGTGGACGATTCCCTTTCTTCGATTTCCATGTCTTGTCGCTTATTTCTTTTCGTTCGTTTGTCAGAGTGAAGCTTGCTGTAAATAAAGAATTACAAGAGGCTGTTGCTGTGAAAATCATTGACTTAGATCGAGTAAAAGATGTCAAAGATGCCAGTACTAATGTCAAGAAGGAGGTTTGTTATTATTTGCAAAACAAGCATATGACTTAAAACTTATAAGCTTAGCAAATGCAGAGCTGTAACGTCAGAACAGTCATTTAAGTTTGTGTAATACTTTCTACAACATGGAAAAAGCTCATTAGCAATTAAATTTGTGATGTTGTGGTACCATTTTCTTAACCAAACAAAAAACCTTGCACTTTCCTCAATTCATAGACCCCACCCCCCCACTCCCTGTGTGTAAATATTCATAACAATGCTTAATGTTTTGCAGATCTGCATCCATCGAATGCTGCAAGAYGTCCATGTGATAAGGTTTTATGCTCAAAGAACAGAAGGAAGCAAGCAATATCTGTTCATTGAGTATGCATCTGGAGGAGAGCTGTTTGATAGAATAGGTAAAACTAGATYCTCTCTTTGCCATTCCAAAATATCTCTTTTCAAGGATCAAAGAGACAAGCAAAGACTCCTTGAGTCTTGAGAGCTGTGATGTTAAAGTACCCAATTTTTTATTTTTCTTATAGAACCAGACGTTGGAATGCCACAGCATTTAGCTCAAAAATATTTCAAGCAACTCCTTGCTGGTGTGGTGGGTAGTTTTTTGAGATTTTGTGTAAAATTCGTTGTTAGAATTCAAGTAAGATACCTCGAATGAAGCATGTGGACAGTTGGAAACAAGATTTTTATATTGTATTCTAACCAGAGATCACTATTTGAAGCATTTCACATAATCTTATGCAGGAATATTTGCACCAGCAAGGTGTGACACACAGGGATATCAAGCCTGAAAACCTTCTTTTAGATGCTGATGGTAAGAAATCAGTTTCCTGTTTGGGTTTCAATGTCATTGGTATTCTTTACTTGGTGGTATTTCCAAAACGCTCTATTTATTTGCAGATAACCTTAAGATTAGCGATTTTGGCTTTGCCACAGTATTCAGATTTAGAGGAAAAGAAAGATTGCTTGGGAAATGCTGTGGAACTCCTCCTTATGTAGCACCAGAAGTTCTTTCAAAGTGTGATTACCGAGCTGAGCCTGCAGATATTTGGTCATGTGGTATTGTTCTTGTTGCAATGCTTGCTGGGGGTAGGTGTACTGTGTCTGATTTCAAATCAATACTATTATGAATACTGATATATATTGAACCATTGTAGAACTCCCATGGGATGAGCCAACGGTGAAGAGTAAAGAGTTTGTTGATTGGCAGAATAATAAAGTAAACAGAACACCTTGGGTCAAAATTGACTCTCYGCCATACGGTAAGTCAAGGGATATTATGTTATTCCATGGTAAACATGTTGAAAGTTACATGYATAAGAAATAACATCTTGTGGAAAGGGCAACTGAGTGGTCTTAGTTCAACTATTGTACATRCATGATGTTATTTGAGTGTGTTTAGCAGGGTTTGGTATTCTAGTCATCATTTTCCAGTACCTTCCACTTTAAAATATTCTTACTGCAAGTCTAATTGTACAATTTATGCACATTTGCATTCATTGAAATCACTTGTTTTACTAATCCATTTTTTTTGTTTGTTTGTTTGTTGTTTTTTTTTTCATTAGCACTTTTAAGGAAAATCCTATTAGAAAATCCTAAGAAAAGAATAACATTACAAAGTATCAAGAAAGATAGATGGTTTAACAGGTTTGAATCATTTCTGTACATTAGTTACTAAATRTAATACAATTAATGTTGGACAAAATCTGAACTACTTTAATTATGCTAGCTCATAGTTTGTTACTGATAAAGGTCCATGTCATTATTTTTCAGAACGTTCACTGTTAGTCGCAGTCCTTCATGTAGAGATGGTGAGTATTTAAAATTTATTTTGATTTATAACAAAAAGCTTTTAATTGAGAAGAGCAAACTGAAATTGGGAAAWTGTAGGTAGCTAATTATTCCAAAATTATATCAGGGTATTTTTTGAGAATTCTTTGGTTAGATACATGATAGTTGAACATGATCCTGTTTGTCAAGTAACTTTTCCAGACGTCACTTGATTTATTGTGACTGTTGTTTTTTAGGACCTAGTAGTTCTCCATGTGAATCTCCATCTGGTACAGGCCCATTCAAAAGACAGCGCTCAGAGACGGGAACTCCTGTTCTCAAGGAAATCAAGTAAGATGAAAG